TCCTAATTTGGTTGCTAATGTCTAAGACAACTGTTGAAATTAATTTGAAATTAATGTTCCTATATAATTACTTAATGAATCTCACATTCACTGCCCTTAGCTCTCAGCTGACAAAGGATCTCACCCACTGCATGTAAGAGGTTGGAATACTGACTGTGATTTTAAAACAGTTGCTAAATTATAGTTTGCAAATATTTTACATTTATATCACACACTTCATCTTGAAGGATCTTGGTGTGTTTGAAATGTTACATAACATTCATTCTTTAGTAAAATTCCATCACAAAAACTTTCTGGGCATCAATCTTCTTACTTCCCTGCATGACTTGGAATTAAATCAAATTTAGCTGTATTATTATGCAAACACAAAATCATACCTGCATTAAAAGGTTATTATTAGGACTGTAAAGTCAGACACTTAAAAGATAAGAAATGCTGGAACTGTAACTCTGTGCAATATAAATTCCTTTTTCCATACATATGTATTCTCATAGTCTTTAATTTTATGATCATATATTTTCCTATACTCCCTCTCTCCCTCAGGGGACTTATTAGTCCTTGTTAGTGTTCAAGAAAAAAACAGGGTAAGAAAAAATAAGGTTCAAGAAAAAGCTAGCAGGGGAAGGTAGCGACCTGTGGAGTCTTTGCCCCACTCCTTACAAAAGCTGAAAAGGTTGTAGTGTACGTTCCTCCTTTTCTGGGTGGCTGACTTGATACCCCATAAATCCTGATCGGCAGAAATGCTGAATATGCACAGCAGTAACTGAAGCTAAAGAAACATTCGAACGTGCAGAGCATTTTACATACTACTGAATCCATTGAACCATGAGGTCCTGGGGTCTTAGACCAAGCACTTAAAATTAGTGTACACTTCAAATAGGGGAAAACACTTCTCCGTCTCCCAGGGACAGTGGAAAATGTATTAGAGCATTTGCAAAGCACACAGACTGTGTGATACGGAGACCCAAACTTACTCGTTCTGTACAGTACAGCCTGGACACAGCACAATTAGCGGGGAACAGGACACACTGTGACCCAGGAGCACAAAGTCTCTAGGGAAGCGGCTGGTGCTGTTGTGCAAATTAACAGAGGGAGGCAAGGACCCGATGGGAAAACGCCTTTCCTGAGACAAAAGAGCTGAACTGAAGGCTTTCTAGACAGCCTTAATTCTGACTGCTCACCATTTTGTGTGCTTATCTGTAACTTTGCATTTCTTCTTATGTGCATATTGTTTCTTAAGGATCAAGGTAAAGCGAGAGCACTAAACTCATTAGCACTCATGGACCCTTCAGAGCTTTCCTGAGTTAGCTGAACAGTGCTTTGCCTTAGGCCATCCTCAGCATCTAGGCCAGATCAAGTCACACGCTGCAGAATGCCGCCTCAGTCTTCCTGCAGAGGAGAGCTGTAGACAGGTAGGCATACACTGGCATGGCTCAGACTAATGATACCACGTCCAAGAGTCGCAGGGCTCAGCGGAGGGATGAGCTGGTGAGGTCAGGTCCCCAAACACATGGCGATGTCAACCTCTTTGCGACCCGAATCTCCTTTCCACAACAGGGGAGAATACCCAGCAGCCCACACCCAGACAACAGTCCACTCCCTGTTCCCACCACACACACACCTCCACCTGTTGCCCTACTTTCTTAACTAGAAAGCCTAACTTCTCCTGCGCTTACACCTTTGCCAAACCTCCCTCTCTCCACCGCATTCCCACCCTTGTCAGGCTGTAGATGCTCCTTTCCAAAATGCCTGTCTTCTCTCCCCCACCCCCCAAAGCATTCCTATGTTCCACACTTCATGCATTCCTCAGCTAATGGATTGCTGGAACATCTCCAGGAAAGATCTCCAAAGAAAACCTCTCCCAGCATGGCCACATCCTGGAAACATGCAAAGGTGAACGGGAAGGGGAGGTGGGGAGCATTTGGAAGCCCATTAAATGAGGGCTTATCATCTGATTTATGTAAATCACTTCAAATGCCTTCATTTATTAAAAGTATTAAGCTGCATTACTGTTTGCCTTTGGTCTCCTAATTTGGTTGCTAATGTCTAAGACAACTGTTGAAATTAATTTGAAATTAATGTTCCTATATAATTACTTAATGAATCTCACATTCACTGCCCTTAGCTCTCAGCTGACAAAGGATCTCACCCACTGCATGTAAGAGGTTGGAATACTGACTGTGATTTTAAAACAGTTGCTAAATTATAGTTTGCAAATATTTTACATTTATATCACACACTTCATCTTGAAGGATCTTGGTGTGTTTGAAATGTTACATAACATTCATTCTTTAGTAAAATTCCATCACAAAAACTTTCTGGGCATCAATCTTCTTACTTCCCTGCATGACTTGGAATTAAATCAAATTTAGCTGTATTATTATGCAAACACAAAATCATACCTGCATTAAAAGGTTATTATTAGGACTGTAAAGTCAGACACTTAAAAGATAAGAAATGCTGGAACTGTAACTCTGTGCAATATAAATTCCTTTTTCCATACATATGTATTCTCATAGTCTTTAATTTTATGATCATATATTTTCCTATACTCCCTCTCTCCCTCAGGGGACTTATTAGTCCTTGTTAGTGTTCAAGAAAAAACAGGGTAAGAAAAAATAAGGTTCAAGAAAAAGCTAGCAGGGGAAGGTAGCGACCTGTGGAGTCTTTGCCCCACTCCTTACAAAAGCTGAAAAGGTTGTAGTGTACGTTCCTCCTTTTCTGGGTGGCTGACTTGATACCCCATAAATCCTGATCGGCAGAAATGCTGAATATGCACAGCAGTAACTGAAGCTAAAGAAACATTCGAACGTGCAGAGCATTTTACATACTACTGAATCCATTGAACCATGAGGTCCTGGGGTCTTAGACCAAGCACTTAAAATTAGTGTACACTTCAAATAGGGGAAAACACTTCTCCGTCTCCCAGGGACAGTGGAAAATGTATTAGAGCATTTGCAAAGCACACAGACTGTGTGATAC